AATGGACAGGCCTAACCCCCAGCTTCATTTCAGTCTTCAACCCACCAGAATCAATCGCTCTGAATCCTTTAAATTGGCATTTCTTTTTTAATCAATTTTTCTCTTTTCCTTCCCACTGTCTCGCTACATCATGACCTGAGTGTGCTAATTGACATCAGAAGGTTCATACATTGTGCCAGCGCCACACTCAATAATCCACCGTGAGACACTTTCAGGAGCTAGAAGCTAGTATCTCCCCCACAAGTGTGAAGATAACCAAAGTACATTCTCTCTTTTTCAAACACCAAACACTGTGGTCGTCTATCCATAAAAAGTTGAAATATTACACATGCCAAATATGTTTTTTATTTCTCCCAAAGCAGCTTTTCTGTAGTGTATAATTTGATTTGTTTTCTGTGTTCTTCGGGCCAATCAGAGGCCACGGGGGAGTCTCCCGTGGAGCTGTGATTGTTGAGATCCGTCCAGCATTAGCATCTGGTCCCATCACACAATTAACCTGCTTGTTGACCGGGAGCTCCTATCTCTGTCGCACAGCTTCCGGCCCGCCAGGTTGCCTTTATATTACTCATGGGGCCTGTTTGCAGAGAGCAAATGTTGAAATAGATTGCAGTGCTTCATCGGGCTTCTCCAGAGAAAATGAACAAAATAAATAGAAAGATTTGTAGCTGTAGATGTAACCTTACGTGTGAGAGATACACTGCAAAATCAATCCATTACTCATTAGGACTGAGGCAAACCTCCGATTTAACATAGATTTTCTAAATTATAGTGCTGAATTAAAACATACAGTATGTATCAAAGTTGCAGCTTTTTATTTTTTTTAACCCATAACTGATGACATTTCAAAATGTCAAAAGCCGTGTTAAGTAAGATATTTGTGCAAAAACACCCTGTCATGTCTGATTTATATTGCCCACGAGACACTTAAAAGTAGTCTTGTTTACCCAAATTAAAAAGCATCAGCTATGTGGGAAATCTACTTCTGCATCCTCAGGAAGTAAAAAAAAAAATCAAAAACCGACTCCTCAATAACAACAACAACAACACAACTTCTGTCCTGCATGTTTGGTATTCTACATCTTTTTATATACACAAACTGTATCTAAATTATATATATATATGTCATCAGCAAGAGTCTTGCGACAAGTTGGCTCGCTCCATGTGAAAGCATCTTGTGTCGGAGAGATGGAACCCATTACGTGCGGACAATGCTACCACTTTCATTCAGAACACATTGTACCAACATCTGCTCAGAAATGATACTAGCTGCTGAGGTGGAAATTTGCCACCAAAAGATTTTGCTGAATTTTGCTGCTACAATTCACTCATTACTCCGTGACATTTTCAGGACGTTCCTGCTTCACAAGGACCCTTCATACTTCCACCATCTTGTACTCACTAATGTGTAATAATCCCCTGCTGAAGTGAATTCTGCATAGATGCAACACCTACCTTAAATACGGCTCATTTTTCTACACTAACTATATATGTAAATATAAATCAACTAATCTGATTACATCATATTTTATGACAATTGTTTGTTTTTTTTCCGGGTTTATTATGCCTTTACAGTGTGATTGCGTATTTATTATACGTACTGCTTCATCCGCCGTGGCCTCACCGTCGTCCCATCTGTCTGTAGAGAATTCATTTTTACCTTACTGTGAGCTATAAATATGATATCCAATACGAAGACGTCTGATTTCTTTTTTATTTGATGTGGAGGTAAGGAATATGACGCTATCTAATAATAAAGGCTGAAAATGTGCAAATTTACCAGAGTGGAGAACTATTTTTTAATCAATTTTGCCCGTGCCCCCTGCATGCCACTATTTTTTATTTTTTTTATTTTTTATTTCCAGAGGCATCACCATAAAACTAACTAGCAATCTGGCCCCTTGTACAAAATAATGTGAGCTCATTTTCAGTCTCAGAAATTTTCATCACAAGGGATTTTAAATGGATGTGCTGCATCCATTACGGACGGAAGTCATGAGCTATTGCTCGATGAAAGCGTTTGCTCTGCTCAAAATGCTTCGTGGCCATGAAATATTGCATTGTTAATCATGACATGTAAACATGACTAGCAGCCTGTCGTGTGTATAGAGAAGGTGTGAGTGATGTGCAGTGAGTGGGTGGAGAGTATGGCTTCCTATTGTCTCGTGTAGGGGAAATATGTGGGAGAAACATCATCGAAATAGTAATGTTTTGGCACATTCTTAAGAGCCTATTAAAATGTTTGTTTACCAAAAGCCCGTGAGAGAAATTGATATTTTGTGTGTTTTTTTAGACGACAGAATGAAGGCAATACGTGTGTATGGATTGATTAGAATTACTATCATAGAGATAATGAAGCAATAAGTCGTATATCGTCCAGTAATGTACCAGTTCGGGGGCGTTGTTAGGCCCAACGTGTAGAAGTCCACCTTAATTGTCTGGTTGCAACAGCTCGCATTGCCCGAAACTGATCATTTTTGGGATTTCCGTTTTTTTTCAATGATCGCCACCGAGCTAAAAAGTGAAATGTCAACGAGCGGCCTCGCGAAATTGACCCTGTTTCTGTGCGCAGTGATATGAAACGCTCGGGTCAATGTGAACCGCAAGTGTACATTATCACTCAATAATGTACCCCCCGTCACTCACTCAACCAATCAGAACGCTAGATAATTAAGGATATAAGCTCCCCCCCTCATGCTAAACTAAGATAAACGTCTCCTTGTTGGCTCGTTTAAGGTGCACACCAGGGATTTTTCATCTTAATTCGTATTCTTAGAGCTTATTCCCGAAATGTCAAACCTTAACCTCCGTCTTCCTATTTAATTTAACCAATCCATCCAAAGTTTAATTTTCGACTCGGCAAATTATGTGTTCTGAACCCCTCAAAATTTCAGCCACATTGTATTTTTTGGGGGTGGGGGGGGCTGAGCCCTTGGTTTGACCTCACCTGGGGCCCCCAATAATGGCGCCAAACAACCAGTTGGCATGAGGAAATGACGCATCCATCACTCTGGTGAATAAACCCAGGCCTGATATTTGAGACTCACACGCTCATAAGCTGGTCGCCTCGTGATGAATTACAGTTGAGCTGATAATATGAAAAATGGCAAGCGGAAGGCGTTTTATCAAGAGGGGGGAGCGTTATCAGCCTTAAAGGAACACAGCGCTGCTCAGAGGCTTGCGGGGCTTCAGCAGCTGGATGGGCTCATGTCTCCTCTCGTTAATTGCACACACCTGATCCGCCAGATCTTAATAAATTATATTTGATGGTGCAGGTTGAACCCAGATGCTCTATACAATTAATATAAAGTGGTTTCAAGTGTTTTATGTTTAAAACAGAACCAAAAGTAATACTCCACAATTACAGCGAAGCAATGAATTCATCATCGATTCATTCTGTCCCCCATATTTTCAGCTTTATGTTTAATTCAGCGGCCAAACAAAAGCCCATTCAAGCATTTTTTTGCTCCTGTAAATCAAATCTGGGATGCGCCCACTAACGTTGAAACCATTCATATCGACTTTTGTGTGGAAGAAATCTAAATTTATACTCTGTTGTTCACCGGACAAAAACAGGATGATATAGTGCCTTAGGGTGTTTCTGTTTTATTTCTTCTGGTGGGGTTTTTGGGGGAGTGATCAGCGTTGAAAAACAACATCAGGTTACGATGAAAGCTTTGGTTTATAGCTGCAACGTGACTGAAAGTCAAAGGAAATTTCTAAAGCTTAATGGAATAAAAGCTTATATGCTCGCCGCCACTCACGACGATTTCTATGTATTCGATCTATGTTCTTGCAAGATATGATTTGTGATTATGCATTTCATCTATAATACGTTCAGAATCTAAAATCACAATATCATAAATACAAGCAGAAGTTCTTTTGGTGAAATGTATTTACACTTAAGAACTGGTCTACGTTAAGATGCCGTGTTTATTCATTCAACGGCGTCTCTGAGGCTGCTGATGTGTTTGTGTGCGTCCCCAGTTTCACAGTAGACCATCTAGGATGGATTGTGAAAAAAAAGATTTGTTTAGCAATGTTTTCCGTTTTTTTGAGCCTAATCATTTCGGGTGTTTGAACAAAATGCACCCGGAGCTGAATGGCAAACTGGTATACACGTTTCAGTAGCAGCTATGCTCCAGGGAGCTTTTCCTCTCTCTAACAATTCAGAGATGCAACATTTGATCGCCCTCCTCAACATGGAACATCAGCTTATTCTGCTTCCTCTAAACAAGTGCCATCATTATCCGGACAGAATATCCTCTTGTTGTACAGGAGCAATAGTGTTTCCTCACACAAATGACTGGGGTATTGATCCAGGCCACAAGGCTGTCAAACATCAGCCCAATTTGTTATTGTATCGAATGAAATTGTACCCGGAGAGCTCAGCGTTATCTCACCCCCCGCCTGCATCCATGCATTCCCACATGTGTGCTCTAGGGGGGGGGTTTAACACGCCAGCGTGCACTGTTGTTCACACACCGAGCTCCCGCTCAGGGACATTTTACAGTCCAGCCGTGGTGAGTGACATTTTAACAAGAAGGTATAAATCATGTCTCCAAAGAGACAGAAGAAAACAAAAGCCGGAACCGCCGAGTCCTCTGGGAAAGAAAAAACAAAACCACCCCCTGCGGCTATCCTGATCACACACGACCATGTCCGTGCCACACACAAACACACGCATGCATCCATGGATGCAATTGGTTTCATGTGCTTTGTGACACAGTGCAGAGCCATTACAGACATCCACAAGCTCTCTACACACAAGCAGCACAAACACAGCTGGCCAGGGGAGGGCCACCGGGGTCCAGTCATGGAAGGAGCCAGCAGAAATCTGATAAAGCCGCCTGGATTTGCTTAATTCAGCTTTTCCCCAAAGCTGCTACTGCTGGAAGGGGGGAGGATAAAAAAATATAACCGCACCGAAACAGGTGCGAAGGAAGGCAGGAGGGGGTCATAGTGAACCGCTTAACCGATTAACTCCACATAACAGGTTGGACTTTTTTTTTTTTTTTTTGAGAAAAGATTTTCAACCATACTCCTCGATCGATTCAAGGCGAGAATATTTGCTTTTGAACACATCTGGAACACTTCAGAATAATGCAATTTCCCCGCACCCAGGCTGAAAGGAAGCGCAGGGCATCCTGCTGTATCTCTGCTTCCATTAGCCCCTCAGCTCTGGCGCTCCATCAAAGTGTCATGATGCACGTTGATCAAACCCGGCAAAAGCGAGGAGGAGGAAGAGGAGGAGGAGGGTGGGGGGCAAAAAAAGTGACATAAGCATGTTGGAACAGAAGAGAGACACAAATAGAAAGAATGCACGAAGCAGTGACCCGGCTTCACGTTGTGAGGTCTCTTCGCCTCCACCATGCAGGTGTACTTTAGAACTAACGCATTGGAACAAAAGCTGTGGAAAGGACAAGTTAACGTCTCGCCAATTTTCGCCCTCGTTCAGGCAGCAGAGGTGTGTAAGATACGGACGGAAAGTGCGGCTGCAGACATGCAATCTTATTAAAAATGAACATGGTGCTTCATAAATGATGGAGACGAGTGTGATGGAGACGAGTATGATACAGCCGGTCAGACTGCGTGAAAACACAGAGAAACAAGAGTGTTATCTTGCCGTGTATTATTTCAAAAAGTAGATTACCAGCAGAGAGGCACTAATGACTGACGCACAAACGAAAAGCTACGGCTGCTCTGCATCTGTCCTCCGCATCCGAGAGCGAAGCAGTGTGCGTCTCACCCACTCGCATCCCCAACAAACTGACAACCCGCAACCTGCCTCGCAGCACCTCAGCACAGCACCGAAACCAATCGCCAAAAGCAAACAAAGAAAGGAAAAAGACACTCAAAGCATCAGATTTTTACCAAGCATTCAATCTGCTGTGACAGCTATGTACTCACCAGTGACAGTATCTCTCACTTTTCTTTGTTGATCCCTCTCTCTCCCTCTCTCTCACACTCTTCCCTCCCTTTGTTTTTTCTTTTCCTTTCTGTGTATCTATCTTTTTTTTTTCTCCCCCCCTCACTCTGTCCTTCCGATCCTCTTCCTTGCTTGCTCCTGAACAGAATGAACCTCCACTGCACTCAGGAGCCCGGTTTCTATGGCAGTGTGAGCAAGCAAAGCAAGTCAGCAGGATGCTGTAGTGCAAATGTCTAGGGGCAGATCCCTCACCCAGCCCAGCGGACAGCCAAACAAGCCCAATGGATTCTCACTTCAATCCTGTTGGTGCTGAAAACAATTGCCAGGCACTTTAACTTCTGTTGCAGAAGACATGTAGTGAAAGGGTGAAAAAAACTGCAAAGAAATGTTCATTTTGCTCTCTAAAAAACAGGCGGACAATGCAGCAAAAGAAAGGAAACGCAAAGTTTTAGGAGCATGAATATAGATGAGGGCGTCCTCATGAATATCAAAGCTTTTTGGATTGAATAGATGTCCAGATAAAACATGCAAAGAGTGTGTTTTAATTCCTACATAGAATGGCATTAGGCAAATGCACCGCGAGGCATCAAAGGGGGGGGGTTGTCCTTTCCTCATGAGCAACACACGCAAGCCTTTGCTTTGTTCCGCGTCGAGAGCGCGCTGCCGCGAGGAAAACGCGCGTACGCATCCGCGCATCCCGCTGATTGAATAAGCACGGGGCGACACGGCGCCTCCGCCCGCAGCTGCTGACCGCGGCCATGCGACATATTGCAGCACCATCAGTATAGGATCTTCAACAGAGAGGGAGGGAGAGCACGAAGGAGGTGCAACCCCCCCACCGGCAAATCGTGCCTCGGTCGAGATCTTAGCGTCAGTTCCTCAACAGGCGGCGGTCCGCAGAGGACGCGCCTCCGACCACCGGCTCCGGCCGCGGGAATCGATTGGACGCGCGACACCGGCGAGATGCGGGAGAAATTAATTGCATTCGGCGCAGTTGGCAAGCGTTCCAAATGAAGATCTTAGAACGCGTGTTGTGGATAACACGAACAGCCTCGTTCTGCCGGCTGAGCGGGTTTGTTTGCGGTTGCAGCGGCTCTATGACGCGTTATGTGTTACTCAGAAACGCTCCTGCTGGAACCAGTGCAACATCTGGTATTTTAGGTTGTAAATTCAGAACACTGGGGCATCTTCCAGATTCTTTTTCTATTTTTCCCTTGTTTCCAACTAAATTGTGATTTCCTTAACAATGACTAAGAACTTAACTTTTCCTACACTAAGTCCACCTTGGAGATGAATAATTAAGCAATAAGGTACGAGAGGCTGTACTTTATTGCCCAATAATGTAACAGTTCGGGGGTGTTGTTAGGCCCTATAATACAACAACGTAGTGTAGGACCTAACCAGTATCATATAGAATAATGTGTTTGTTAAAATGGGCACAGACCAATTTGTAAGATCAGTTATAACAGGCTGTCGTGTAAGGATTTATTGTTGCTCATGCCAATGGCAGCCAGTTCTGAAACGTTGGAAACAAGTGTCAGTGGCTGCGTTTAAGTCTTCTTCAATACAGCATGATGTGTACCAAGTAAATGATGGTGCCATTTAAAGTGAAATAGACAATAAATCAGATTAGGCTTTAGGCTTACTGTGATCGAGAGGCCCCTTATCGTCCTGTACCATTGCCGTTAGTGTTCACTTATGTATTTTTGATCCTTGTGATGAAAAACTATTTCAAGTCTTTGTAAATCAAATAACTCATTGGTGTCAGAGATCAACGTCAATAAAAGTTGCATCAGTGAACAGTTTTGTGCGTTTGGAACTGTATCGAGTTATGAATGTCATCACCAGAGCACTTCAGCATGCGGCACATCCTGCTAAGAGGCTTAATGTGATTTCCACTTACAGTGCCGTATACTTTCATTTCTTCAACAATTAGAATCAAATCAAGCGTGTGTACAGAAAGATAACTCCCAACCCCCACCCAAAATAAATCTAATGCCGCCGAAACCGATGCATCCATAATCCTGTCGTCAAATCACATCACTCAGTTCCCTGTGATGCAGCCGCTCCAAACAGCAGACACAACAATATCCTTTAAACATTAACAATGCATGACAGATTGGTTTATAGGAAGCGAGCAGCATGACAATCGGCTGACAGCGGCTGGACAGGCCCTTGAAGGGGCATTGATGGGTGGAAGCGGGGGGAGGTGGTGGTGATGCCTCAGCTAAAGGTAGACTGCTGGAGAGTCTTAGCCAAACAAACGTCTGAACACAATGAGTATGAGCAGGAAAATAAACCCGGATGAGGTGGATGTGAGGAACAGTCGGACATGTCAACTTAGACACAACCAGCCCAATTTGAACCAACATGGACTGTTGTGGTGACAGTAGTTAATGGCCAAATTTGACCTTGGGAAGTTCAGTTGATAAGCTCAAATCGTGCTACACATTCTCAACCACTATATCATTGCAATCTGACTTATTACAGCAAGACAGCTAAAGGTCAACATTTCCATCTCAGACTTAAAGCATGATTAATTAATGTCCACGGCCACTTCGGGAGTAGCATGAAGCCTGCGTGTTAACAATCACTTTATCTATTTACAAATCAGGTACAGAAATCCATTAGCATTCATTTAGAGTCACGTTTCTGCCCATCGGACAAATGTAACAATGTTCGCTCTGCTTTTTTGCTTCACCAAACCGTGCAGGGAAATATATTGCTCCTTAGCTTCCAAATGCCTGAATACATGTGGAGCAGCTCACAAAAAGTGTCTTTGTCATAGCATTTTTTTCCTCTAAAAACAGCTGCATTCTGCGGTTACTAAAACTGAGATTGATGGTAATAGTAAAGTTACAAACCATGAAACTAAAAACACTCAGCTGGAAGACGCTAAGACGCTCCATAAAGCTGAGGGGAGCAGCAGTGATGACATGTGCACTAAAGAGCAGCTTTGCACCCCCTGCAGAGATGCACTCCGTGACTCGTGAGATGATACCCAAATGCAAATATTTTGCATTAAAACTATTCATACCGGCAGCGATGCTGATTTTCAACAGTGGCAGCCCTTTCCAAAAAGAAGGTTAAAAAACAAGGCGTGTGAGCCCGCCCTTTAGCATGCTCCACTTTGTGGCTCTAAATAGTAAAATGAACATCTTGCTGTATTAAAGAAGACTTCTTTTGAAGAATCCTTTTGAGGGCAAACCTATAGGCTCTTTTGCCATCATTAAATGTATTCTACTGCAAAAAATGACATACTACTCGTGAAATTATTAAATTCATACTACTGAAATAAATAAATTTCTTCTGTTGCGATAATTGCCTTCATTCTAGTCAAATAAATGCTCTTATTCTATTGCTAAATGACATTGTATTTACCTGTTTTAATTACTATAACAGAGCCTGTGTTGTTGTCCTTAAATGTTTCTGTGCTAAAGTTGTTTTGTTTTTGTATTGTGTTCAGTGACATTAAAGGCTTCTATTCCATTGCAATGTTAACAGCATCTAGTCCTCGTCGCTGAGGATGATGATGATGCTGCTGCTGTTGATGCTGTTGAAGATGCGATACAGGGCTGTGTTTTTTTCTATTTTCTCTTTCTATTTTGTTCAATGTTTTCTTGTGTGCTGTGTCTAGGTACAAAATTTGATATATATTTCTTAACACATCATTTACATCAGAGCACAGCACTCGTTGCCCTATTTTGTACCAGTTCCTACCAAACGACCGGCTGAACCTGAGGGAAATTAGAAAACACAGCAGATTAAAAGATGAAGAGATACCCGTACGATGAGGAAAATGAGGGGGCTTTATGTCTGAGGCTCTACTGCTATCATTTCTTGACCTGAGCACGTGTGAATCCATCTCATCCAATATTAAACACTGCCTCAAGAATTAATGCAGGGCGGTGTTTCACAACCAGTGGTTCATGATGGTTTTCACCACTTGCTCGGGACTTTGGGGCCTGGCTGTGGTTTCAGAATAAATTTTTCTTGCTTCTTGGGCAGCTCAGCTGTCTTTTTGGGATGCTAGACCCCCACGTGGCTCTTATTCTGACACAGAGTTTACCCATCTTTGATTGCTACTCCCCTGATGTTTATTAGGAGGTTTTCAGTGACACACTTTCTAGGTCAGTACTCAACTCTAAACCTCCATGCTCTGACGTCTCCCGGCAGATTGTAATGTTCAGTCTTAATTAGCTTTTTTCCCCGTTTGGACTTTTAATCCACAAATCCATCCGTCAAAAATGTCTTATTTTTATTCATAATGTCTAAAACAACTTTTTAGTTTGATTTTAATCTGGTTATATTTTTTATATTTTATTTGTGGATACTGAATCTATATTTATCTATAAATATAAATAGATAAATATTATTTTATTTCTAATTTTAGTGGTTGGCCTTCTAGTCCTTCCGGCTGATGGTTCTGTATTGAAGATCCTACTATATTTACTTTTACTCCGAGTCTCAGAAGTATTCTTCTCTGTATGAACAAGCCCCCTTGATGCCCGCTCACAGACATCGACGTGGTCTCTTGTTGCCAGTGAGTGCGGAGAAAGCAACGGCCTGAATACATACATAACTTCCCCAGGATGAATCCTCACCAGGGAATGCGCTCAGCACAACTTTCTATTTTGATATGAAGTTGTTTATTTCCCCCCATTATTAATAACATTATTTTGCATATAATTATTTCGTTAAAGGGCAGAACTTGCTAGCATGGTAATTAGATGGCTATAACCGTAATTAAATACAAAGATATAAAATAAAATAAGGGTAGGAAAATAATGAAAAAAACATTGACTAATGTAATAAGGGGGTGGGGGGTTGGAATTATGCCTTTAAGGTCATTAATAAAGATATTAATCACTGGAAGGCTCATTTTTACGCACACAACAATGTTTACACTGTTCCAAACACACTAGTGTTAAATCCAAACCATTTTAGGGCCTCTGGAGCTTTTCATTCCATTCTGCCACTTCCTCTTTGAACCAAGTCTCTCCAGCAGTCACACCCAATGAACGGGAGATTTAATTCGAGACGGCACATGCATTTTCTGAATTTCTTCCACGGTTTTATGTAATATTTTCATCTGCTGCACACCAACCACAGGAGGGCTGAAAAAAATGGGAGCCTGTTAACTCTCCCAAAATGTGTTAATTTAGTCTGATTCATAAACTATTTAATAGTTTAGTTTAGTATAGTTTTTAGGTAGGTTTTAAAAATCATAAATACGTATGTCACTGTGTATTCAGCACTTTTACTTATTCAAGATAAAATAAGGTGACGCAGACATGGCACTTCATGATGGTTCAAGTGCTCAAATGTACTTTTCCAACCCTTCATAGATGAGGGGTGTCATCAATTGGATTGCAATGACTGGTCATTTTTTTATGTGTTTGTCTTTAGATAAAAAGTTTGGCAAATTCTGACTTGAGTGTTTTTCCTGGATGTAATTATTTAGGAAAGTAAGTTTAAATAAATGAGCAGTTTGTTTAACTACTCAGATCTCCATGAGTCTAAGACTACTACGTTGGATAGTTATCCCAATATATACTTCTTAGAATTGTACTCCACTCATGACCAGAACTATGCACAATACTGTGTACATAGAGGTGATGTTCAGGGTCATTTTTGTTTCATATTCAAGGTGTGCTGTCTGTGCACTATTCAAACCATACGACCAGAGCATCCTGTTCGCTCCGGCCTAAAAAAACGCATCGGATCTGCTTATGGCCGGTGGCCCAGAGAGAAAATCTAAGTGGAGTTCAAAGGGAACCGAGCTGAAGCTGGAGGACTCTCTTCCCCCGGGTCTAATGCCTCAAGAATACAAATCTAAATTCACTCTGGTATTCACCAGAGGAGATTTATCACAGCAACCCTGAAATCCTCCCATGAATCAGCAAGGCTGACGCAGTACTGCATATAAAGTTGCAAAGGATGGTAAGAAGGTTACAGGAGGGACTCGAGAGGGGCAGGCATGAGAGCACGGTGGAATGGAGGGCGCCTTTTAGTGAAGGAATAGAAATGGCTATAGGCTCAATCATCTGTCTCTCAGGTACCTCCGTTTATTAATTACTTTTGGAAATACTGGAAGTGTGTTAGCCCAAAATATACTGGGTCTTCACACGATGGGTTCCTGTGCTGAATGCTAAGAGACAGATGAAGAATAGAAGAAGAGGTATTTATATATATAACCAACTGGAGCTTCCAAAGCATGTAGGAGAACAACGTGGCTGAGGCAGCAGCCCTTTCAGTGTTTGGTTTGTCCATTAATCTCAGCAGTGAGCTCCAGGAAGGTATAACTAATATTAGTTACTTTATTTACTGCAGGCTAATCCATTTTCCCAGGAACAATATGTTCTACTAATGATTCGTCAATCCTTCATCATTTGATTGATGTTGTTATGCATGCGCAAAGTCAAGAACAATGCGGTGGTTTCTCAAAAATGTAATAAAGTACAAGTAGAAAGCAGCATTAAATGATGAGATGAACGTAGTGGGGGGGGGGGGGTAGTCGGGGTGAAGGAGGGACGTCGGATGGGTTGTTGAGAAGATTGATGGCTTCAGGAAGGAAACTGTTCACGTCATCCGGAGCCGAACTCCTAAAGGCAGTAAGCAGGGTGTGACAGGTTGAGCTAATATCCGACCTGCCTGCTTTCTTCCGCAGATTTTCTGAATCGTATTCAAATATTTCAGCAATATTTGGATGGTATTTCTCTCCTTTATATAGTCAGTTCTGAAAAAAAATCCTCTTACATAAATGACAGAAAGTCTCTGCTGAGCCACAGAGCGATATGTATCAGTGCTTGAAGTCCAGCTGAGATATATATATATATATATATATATATATGACTTCTCTGGTCCAACAGTCCTGGGAGTGTTTCTATTTCTTCCCACAGACGGACCTGTTCCACTCTGGATGCAGTGTAGCTCTCCATCCACTGACATATTTCCACTTCAGCTGTTGCCCCACGAGTGCTGTGGCTTTAAGAACGCCTCCCAGTAAAAGGTCTTACCTTTGGATTCTAAAGGGTGTTGGAGAATCGTTACCAACTGTACAGCTCACCTTGATGGGAGCGTCCACAGTGAGGTTACATCAATGGGGATTCAATCACGCTCAGCTGCAGAATAATGAAGAACACTCCCCTTATTTGACTATAACCTGATTTTGTTCATGTGGCAATTGTTGTGGAATTATTATTGTACAACTGTGATATTAATGATGTGGTCAAGTCACTCTCAAGATAGTCTGCCTGTATTTCAGTTATTAAACCCCGTTTCATCAATGACAAATGGAAGAAACTCAACCAAAACATTGTCACGTTTCCATGTTCAAATAACTATATTGAACCTTATTTTTTCAATATAATGGTTGGTCCATCTATTGACAGAAGCAAATAATCCTAAATTCTCAGTGACAAACCCTCTAGGTATGCATGCTGCTTCTGCTGCGGTGGAGCGATGATCATGTGATAAAAATCATAAAGATATGATGTGGAACAATAAAAGGGTTAATGCTCGAGGCTACGAACCTCTTCCTAAAAACTACTCCCAAATATCTTCTTCGTCATCTTTTAAATCGACAATTTAAATGGGGTCAAAATATCACGTGTCCCCTGTCGTCGTCTACCTACGTATTTACTCCCATGTGTACCTATGAAGCCCCCATTGCGGCCTCTCTATGGTTCTCTCCTCTGTCTTCATACCTGCATGGCGTTTAGGGGACGTATCAGCGGCCGTTTGTTCAGTAACAGCCAGCGACAGGTGATTAGTTTTCCCGCTGTTGGCACACAGACCTCTGCTTCGTTGTCATGTCACACGCATGCATTGCAGCAGACTCCACTCGGTTCTTAATTACGTGCTTGACTGGGGATTAGCCTGTCAATGTGCAGGGCTATGATCTACCGGGGAGGGAATTACCGCTTGTAAAACTTATTCGCATAGATGGATTTCCATGAGTGACCCCGAGGTCACAACTGATAGGTGGTGAATTGAGGTGACGCGTTCCCAACGCTTTTTACCTGTTGCAATATTAATGCTACACAGGGAAGAATTCACTGGGATAAACCAGCAGATACGACTGCTTGTCTTAATTATTATGTAATCAAGACATTATATTTTATGTATTAAGATTCCCTTGAAAATGTTGTAGGAGGGCAAAAGTTTCGAGCCGTAGAAGTGCTGCAGGGAAAAAGATAATGGAACCTTTGCCTGCAGTCGCAGAGATGGATAAAACAGCCCAATGTTTGGCCTTCATTTTGATTTCAACTCCACACCTGTCAAATTTTGGGTGCGGTGCTGAAAGAAATCAATCCACAGAGATACTGGTAAAAATACAAACAAGCTGGAACTCCCCTGATTTCTTTCCTGTTGAAATTATTCATTCAGTTTCCAACAAAGTTTCACTTTTATTTGGTTTTCCAAAGAAATTCTTCCCCTTTATTTATTGTGTGGTTGCTCCTTTGCCTCCAAATGAATGAATGTGTCATTTAGTCTCGGAAGCAGAGTCTATACCTGGATGTTTATTACAGCATCTAACGGATACATGAAATATGCAAATGCGAAGGACGCGCCTGTTGCTTAATAATGGAACATTGTCCCAAGAGTGTGCACGAGATGATTAGAACGACCTGTAGTCTGGCTGCTCGCCAAAGGTCAGTCTACTGGATTCTTAGCTGCACATTGCATGTAGGGAGAACTATACTTATCTGACCCCATGCGCCACGGCCTGGTGTCTTTCTCACCGGTGTAATAATAGTGATAACAGCAGCGGTGAGAGAGACACTTGACTTGTCTTCACATCTCCGATGTTTCACAGCGAAGCCGTGGAGCAATTTTCCGCCGGTGACAATCCATAAGGTCATTGCATCAATTCTTGTCAGCTTAGGTAACATCATTTCAGACCACGAGGCAGCTGCTTTGCAGACGGCGCTAATGTAATCAGAGGATAAAATGTCACAACGATGCTTAAATTGCAAACCTCTTTTTACCAATCGAGTTTCTAAAGAAAAAAATCGATTCTTCCTTTAGCTTTAATGAAACACGATCTCCATGTTTGTTCAAAAGCCTCCTGATTGGACAACTGCATAGAAACCCCAAGAAAACACATTGGCATGCTGGACACAGTTTTCTGTGCCTCTTATAGTCTTTTGTCATGAGGCTGTTATTCAGTTTGTCCGTCCTCCATCTCCCATCTCCCCTGATTGTACGTCTTGTGGGTCATGTTTCCTC